CAACCAAGCATTATCAAAAGCCGAGCTAGAAATTCACGAACAACCTAAAGATTCCTTGATGCCCTTCCAGACTCCCTCCACCTACCCAAGGACGGAGTATAAAAATCAGTTAACCACCTAACTGAGGCTCTACATTTAACCTTGCACAATACCCTAGATGCAGTCGTACCCCTAAAAACAAAAAACTGTCGTCACAAGAAATTAGCTTGCTGGTATACAGGAAATACCCGAGCCCTGAAGCAAGCTTCCAGAAAACTGGAAGTCTTCCGACTAGCTTGGAAAGACAGTACCGTGCAATATCGAAGAACCCTCACTGCTGCTCGATCAGCCTAATTTTCTAACCTAATAAAGGAGAATAATACATTTATTTATGATAGTGTCGCAAAGCTAACTAAAAAGCAGCATTCCCCTAAAGAGGATGGCCTTCACTTACGCAGTGATCAAATCATGAACTTCTTCGACGGAAAGATCATGATCATTAGAAAGCAAATTACGGACTCCTCTTTGAATCTGTGTATTTCTCCAAAGCTCAGTTGTCCTGAGTTTGCACAGAACTGCTAGGACATAGGATCAATGGAGACACTCAAGTTTTTTTATCCTGGATTTCTCGACACATTCACGAAAATAGTCATGGCCTCTAAACCTTCCAGCTGCATACTGGACCCTATTCCAACTAAACTACTGAAAGAGCTACATCCTGTGCTTGGCCCTCCTATGTTGAACATAATAAGCAGCTCCCTATCCTCTGGATGTTTGATCTTTGGATACAAAACTCACTAAAAGTGGCAGTAATAAAGCCTCTCTTGAAAAAGCCTAACCTAGACCTGGAAAATATTAAAAAACTATCGGCCTACAGTACCGGTCAAATGTTTTAGAACACCTACTCATTCAAGGGTTTTTCTTTATTTTTACTATTTTCTACATTGTAAAATAATAGTGACAACATCATAACTATGAAATAACACATACGGAATCATGTAGTAACCAAAAATGTGTTAAACAAATCAAAATATATTTTATATTTGAGATTCTTCAAATAGTCATCCTTTGCCTTGATGAAAGCTTTGCACACTTTTGGTATTCTCTCAACCAGCTTCACCTGGAATGCTTTTCCAACAGTCTTGAAGGAGTTCCCACATATGCTGAGCACTTGTTGGCTGCTTTCCCTTCATTCTGCGGTCCGACTCATCCCAAACTATCTCAATTGGGTTGAGGTCGGGCGATTGAGGTAGGGGGATTATGGAGGCCAGGTCATCTGATGCAGCACTCCATCACTCTCCTTCTTGGTCAAATAGCCCTTACATAGCCTGTAGGTGTGTTGGGTCATTGTCCTGTTGAAAAACAAATGATAGTCTTGCTAAGCCCAAACCAGATGGGATGGCGTATCACTGCAGAATGCTGTGGTAGCCATGCAGGTCTCTTCTTCTTATTGGTGTCCTTTAGTAGTGGTTTCTTTGCAGCAATTCGACCATGAAGGCCTGATTCACACAGTCTCCTCTGAACAGTTGATGTTGAGATGTGTCTGTTACTTGAACTCTGTGAAGCATTTATTTTGGCTGCAATTTCTGAAGCTAGTAACTCTAATGAATTTATCCTCTGCAGCAGAGGTAACTCTGGGTCTACCATTTCTGTGGCGGTCCTCATGAGAGACAGTTTCATCATAGCGCCTGATGGTTTTTGCGACTGCACTTGAAGAAACTTTCAAAGTTTTGAAATGTTCTGTACTGACTGACCTTCATGTCTTAAAGTAATGATGGACTGTTGTTTCTCTTTGCTTATTTGAGCTGTTCTTGCCATAATATGGACTTGGCCCCCCCCACGTTGTCACAACACAACTGATTGGCTCAAACGCATTAAGAAGGAAAGAAATTCCACAACTTAACTTTTAACAAGTCACACCTGTTAATTTGAATGTATTCCAGGTGACTACCTCATGAAGCCGGTTGAGAGAATGCCAAGAGTGTGCAAAGCTGTCATCAAGGCAAAGGGTGGCTATTTGAAAAAATATATATTTTGATTTGTTTAACACTTTTTTGGTTACTACATGATTAAATATGTGTTATTTCATAGTTTTGATGTCTTCACTATTATTCTACAATGTAGAAAGTAGTAAAAATCAGAAAAACCCTTGAATGAGTAGGTGTTCTAAAACGTTTTACCAGTAGTGTATATCGAATCTCCCATTCCTCTCAAATTTTTTTGAAAAAGCTGTTGCGCAGCAACTCACTGCCTTCCTGAAGACAAATAATGTATACGAAATGCTTCAGTCTGGTTTTATACCCCCATCATCTTACTAAGACTACACTCGTGAAGGTGGAAAAATGACCTTTTAATGGCGTCAGACCAAGGCTCTGCATCTGTCCTCGTGCTCCTAGATCTTAGTGCCGCTTTTGACACCGTCAATCACCACATTCTTTTGGAGAGATTGGAAACCCTAATTGGTTGACACGGACAAGTTGTTGCCTGGTTTAGATCTTATCTGTCGCAAAGATATCAGTTCGTCTCTGTGGATGGTTTGTCCTCTGAGAAATCAATTGTAAGTTTCTGTGTTCCTCAATGTGCCGTTTTAGGACCCCTATTGTTTTCACTGTAAATTCTACCTCTTAGTGATGTCATTCGGAAACACAATGCCAAATTTCACTGTTATGTGGATGACACACAGCTGTACTTTTCAATGAAACATGGTGAAGCCCCAAAATTGCCTACCCTGGAAGCCTGTGTTTTAGACAGAAGGAAGTGGATGGTGGCAAATGTTATACTTTTAAACTGGGACAAAACAGAGATGCTAGTTATAGGTCCCAAGAAACAAAGATATCTGCTGTTTGATCTGACAATTAATCTTGATGGTTGTACAGTCGTCTCAAATAAAACTGTGAAGGACCTCAGCGTTTCTCTGGACCCTGATCGCTCTTTTGACGAACATATCAAGAATATTTCAAGGGCAGCTTTTTTCTATCTTCGTAATCTGAAACTTTTTGTCCAAATCTGCAACTTGCAAATTAGACTACTGCAATGCACTACTCTCCGGCTACCCGGATAAAGCACTAAATAAACGTCAGTTAGTGCTAAATGCAGCTGCTAGAATCTTGACTAGAAACCAAAAATGTGATCATATTCTTCCAGCGCTAGCCTCTCTACACTGGCTTCCTGTTAAGGCTAGGGCTGATTTCAAGGTTTTACTGCTAACCTACAAAGCATTACATGGACTTGCTAATACCTATCTCTCTGATTTGTTCCTGCTGTACATACCTACACGTACGCTACGGCCACAAAACGCAGGCCTCCTTATTGTCCCTAGAATTTCTAATTTCACTGGCATACTAGTGCTCTTCCATGCCGTCCCTAGGAGGGGTGCATCACATCGTGCCAGGCTTTTTTGCGCTATACTCGACTTGAGTGGGTTCAGTCACTGATGTGATCTTCCTGTCCGGTCTTGCACCCCCTTGGGCTCGTGCAGTGGAGGAGATCTTTGTGGGGTGTACTTAGCCTTGTTTCAGAGTAGTACGTTGGTGGTCTGTTGATATCCCTTTAGTGGTGTGGCGGCTATGCTTTGGCAAAGTGGGTGGGGTTACAGTATATCCTGCCTGGTTGGACCTATACAGGGGTATCGTCGGACGGGGCCACAGTGTCCCCCGACCCCCCCCTGTCTCAGCCTCCAGAATCTATGCTGCAATAGTCTATGTGCCAGGGGATTAGGGTCAGTCTGTTATATCTGGTGTAATTCTCCTGTCTTATCTGGTGTCCTATGTGAGCTTAAGTATGCTCCCTCTAATTCTCTCCCTCCCGGAGGACCTGATCCCTAGGACCATGCCTCAGGACTACCTGGCCTGATGTCTCTCTCTCTCTCTCTCTCTTTCTCGCTCTCTCGACCTCTGAATGCTCAGCTATGAAAAGCCTAATGACATTTACTCCTGAGGTGCTGGCCACCCCTCAGAGCCTCATTCCTCTCTAGGTTTCTTCCTAGGTTCCTGCCTTTCTAGGGACTTTTTCCTAGCCACCGTACTTCTACATCTGCATTGCTTGCTGTTTGGGGTTTTAGGCTGGGTTTCTGTATAAGCACTTTGTGACATCTGCTGATGTAAAAATAGCTTTATAAATACATTTGAATGATTTATTGATATTTGGCAAAATCGAGTTGATAATTATACATACAGCAGATCAGCTCATGAAAAACAGGGAGATGAAGAGAGGAAATTGTTTAAATATTAAGGTATTTTCGTGGAAATTACCACTAAGGACTCCAAGTCAAAGTTAAATGAACAGATCTTTATTGATATTGGCCGGAGAGGTTACAACAAACGTAATACTCAAAGTGCAAGTCTGTCAGAAGTTCTGAAGGGGTGCTCTCACTTCAGCACTCTTTATACTCATACACAAACTAGTCTCTGCTCTGAGTGCAGTAGGCTGATCAGGACCTTGCACAAATAGTATCTAGATGTTGGGCCAAAGTAACAATGTGTTCCCTTCTTTCTGTTCTTCTTCTATCAGCCCTCTTCCTGAGAGCAGTCACAGAACATCCTAACACAATAATCAGGAAACAACACGCTACATGTAGTCACGCATTTGCAGAGACACAGAGGACACTCAAATTTCCACTACAGTATCTTATCGGTGACCAACTGTTTCAAAAAAATATATATATTGTTTGTTGATCACACATTCTCTACCAAAGCTCTCATAAGGGCATCAATATGAGACAGTGCAGAGAAGAGGGAGACATGTTATAGCGGTATTTTGACATGCATAGGCGAGACGTGCTCTGGTAATCCAACCTATAGATTACAATAAAGTTAGGAATTTTCATGCGAAACAGGAGTCAGGATTTGGGGTTTCAGTGGGATTGGGTCGATAGGAAAATAGCCTTTATATAAGGCTAGTGAGTCAATAGATAAATAATACACTTGATCAGCTAACAGGTTATATGAGCAATTTACAATTTAGCTAACATTTCCCCAGCCTAATTGTTACCAAATATCCAAACGGAGATTCAGTGAAAACAAAAATCTGACATTGATTGATTTATCTAGACGAGCCCCCCACGCTTGTCTCAAAGCAGCGCGATGCCGCTGTCCCAATCAGAACGGTGCTGAAATTATAATCTATGTGACCACACATGACTATTGCTTAAAATTAATATAACGGTTGGATTTGACTTTGGGAGTTTCAGCATAAGCAAGAATTTAATAAATGCCTTCAATTGCATTAGCCAACTTTATTCCAATATGTTCATCATTCACTTGATCATAACTAAGGCGAGTTATCCTCTCTCTGTGCTTTTTCTGTTTTTTTTAGGGTTCGGGCTAATTTCATTTCTGTGATGTTGGACCAGGCCTGCGCTCCGGCTTCAGCTCACCGGGCTTGGGTCGGACCGGGATCGAATTTTCAGTTCTGATGATAACTCTAAACTGCATTCGAGTCTGGTGTGCAGTCAGGCAGTGTCAAGTATGTGTGTGCTTTGAATTTATGGAGACTTTGTGTGAAGTAAATAGGCTAAGGTAAAGGCTTACTTGTTTGGATAATGTGCTATTTAATTTTTTTGCCAATCTGCTGCTGTGCATGTTGTGTATTTTGTGGAATTGCATTAGTGCGACATTGGGGGAAAATTTGGTAATTTCCTGGGTCTTGTCATTTTTATTTTTTTCGGAAATGTGAAGAATGATCCTGGGGCAGTCCCGGGATCCAGGTTACCAGTGTTAAACCCTTGTAACAGGAAACCACCTCCTCAAAGTGTCCCATGTTGAGTCAAAAAAAGCCACCACCACACAAGGTTAAAACACTGCGGTCCTCCCAGTCTGCTGGGACCCTATCAGCTTGTCCACAGTTTCACTGCAGATTCATGTTGTTTCTCATGACTCTGGCTCCTGAGGAAGAGGGTCTTGTACTAGGGTGATCTTACAGTCTACTTCCTCTTGTGCTGGGATGTAGAGGTTCGCCATAGCCCTCATCTCATTGTTGTTGTTGAACATATCCCTGATGAGGTTGGTTGGCTTGGGAACTTTGGGGAGAATCTTGTCCTTGTGTCTATAGGCAAAATACACAGTCATTTGGAACAATATCTAAAAAAGGACCTATAATATATTCATCACCATTCAGATATTGCAGTATCCCATATTTTGTGGAGTGAATTTAGAAGTGTATAGATTGATGTGTACTCACTTTCTTATACAAACACAAACCACGATGGCAACTATAACCGCCATGAATGGAATGAAGATGGCTGCAACATGCAGGTGCCAATCACGATTCCCTTCTTTACCTAAACACACAAACAACAACAACAACAATGTCAGGATAGAGGCTTTACATATAACATTTACATTTTAGTCACCAGCTAATAACATGTTAAATCCACTTCAATCAGTGTAGATGAAGGGGAGGAGACAGCCTAAATAAGGATTTTTAATCCTTGAGACAATTGAGACATGGATTGTGTATGTGTGCCATTCAGAGGGTGAATGGGCAAGACAAAAGATTAAAGATTGAAATTCCTTTGAACGGGGTACAGTAGTAGGTGCCAGGTACACCGGTTTGTGTCAAGAACTGCAATGCTGCTGGGATTTTCACGCTCAACATTTCCCAGTGTATCAAGAATGGTCCACCGCCCAAAGGACATCCAGCCTACTTGACACAACTGTTGGAAGCATTGGAGTAAACATGGGCCAGCATCCCTGTGGAACGCTTTTGACACCTTGTAGTGTGAATGCCCTGACGAATTGAGGCTGTTCTGAGTGCAAAATGGGGGGTTCAACTGAATATTAGGAAGGTCCTTAATGTTTTGTACACTCAGTATATATACCAGCTCCATTTTATTTAGCTTATAATTATGAAAGAGGATGACCCAAGAAACTTGGGGAGAAAGAAGGGGGAAACCATACCATATAGTTTCTCCTTAGTCCAGTCACCCTCTCCCATACCACACCGTTTCGAAAAGATGGGTTTAATGCGGACACGGTACTGACAGTAAGGGTCGTAGTTCACCATTATCCAAGTCTTGTCTTCTAAGTGATTACTCTGGAACGACATTACAGCAACAGACATTTGAGTGCTATTACTCTACTAGACCTACATACTGTAATTCAAGACAACAAAGTTGATAAATAAAAGCAAGTGTACTTTATACAGTGGCTGGCTGTAAAAGACAAAATAACATTTTTGCAGACAAGTGCTAAAACGAAACAATGGCAGTTCATTTTCATAACTTTAAGGCGATATATTCAAATCCCAGTACTGCCCACACTTCCCTTTCCTTACCATAGGCTTTTTACATCTGGTATAGTTGATGACGTAGTCCCAACAGCGTGGATTTTTTATGTCTGGTGAAATCCAGCTAATATTGAGATTGCTCCCTTCCTCTGTGATCTTCCATTCAAGAGGTAGGGGCTTCACTGCAGGAAGAATGGACAGATAAATAGTTAATTAAGCAACCTTTGAGAGAAAAACTGTATAAATTGATGAAAATTAGATGTAAATTAAGCCAAACCGCCACAGGACATTGATGCAACGTGATTACGATGATATTAATTAAATAATAAGGAAACTATGATGACTCAGACTATTTATTATTTAGATTTTGGCCTCAGATTTAGCCTGAAGAGTGAAAATAGATGAGTTCTAGTCCTACCATGGACATGAGGATTCACCTCGAAGGTATTCCGTACCGATGAACCATTGAGAGTCCCATTGACCTGGAAGTAGATCAGTTTGTGGAAGTCTCCTCTCAGATGACATCCTGTCCTCTGACCAGTGTTGTACAGGTACTCACTGCATTCTGATACCTTACTCACATTATTGGACCTGAAACATCAGAAATGAGAGGACTGAGATTGTATAGTTGTTGTCATAGTTATAACATGACCTAATCAGGAAAAACCCTGGGTCATAGATATAACAACTGAAAAACTACCCAAACAAACAAAGACTATCTTTGTAACTCTTCATCTATATTTTGTTGAATATAAACACTCTTCCACAGTTAGCCTTGTATTGGACCGTGAGTGGTGGAGAAGCAGGAAGTAGAATTGTTCTCACCCATAGTAAAGCTGGAGGTCTTCTGGGGCCTGATTGGCTAGGAGCCAGCTGCAGTTCATGGCCTTAGAGGAGTAGAGATAACATTTGAAGTTCTTTACCAACTCTGTTATGAGAGAGAGAGAGAGAGAGAGAGAGAGAGAGAGAGAGAGAGAGAGAGAGAGAGAGAGAGAGAGAGAGAGAGAGAGAGAGAGAGAGAGAGAGAGAGAGAGAGAGAGAGAGAGAGAGAGAGAGAGAGAGAGGGGTATTATTTATTTTCTTTGGGGGGGAATGGATCAGCTTAATATTGCAGATAGATTGTATCTTCTATCAATGTAATTGTCTGCATCACTTCCAATCCCCCATGTTTTTTTTATATATATATTTTTTTTATATATATATATACTCCCCTTTATTACTTTTCAACCCCACCATCCTTTCCCTACTTGGAGTAAATTAGTGAACAACAATGCCCAGGCCTCTACTTCCGGTCTATACTTACTATCTACATCTTATGGACAGAGTTAATTTTACAATAATTCTATTATATATATTTTTATTTATTTAATTTTTTATTGCTCCTGAACTTCTTCTACTCTCAACCTCTCCGATCATTTTCATGATGTCCAGAGAGAGAGTTAGAGACACACAGATAGAGAGTTAGAGACACACAGATAGAGTGGTGTGAAGAGAACAGAGAGATTGATTTACACCCAAGTCAATTACATTAACTCTGTAGTATACTGTATAGGACCAGTTCCCTGGACACAGATTGTCTAGTACTGGCCTAAAAAGTATGTTTATGGAGATCCTCTTTAAACATGTATTTGTTTCCAATACTAGGTTTTATCTGATTTGGAAAACCGGCCCATAGAGAGTGACAGCGTTGTTTCGGAGAACATTCTGTTGTTGATAACCAACCTGTGGGGGCAGGGATGGTGTGAACTATAGTTTGACTCATCCGTGTCCTGTTCTCACACTGAGTTTGTAAGAAGAAGCTCACGCCTTCCATCAGAGGAAAACACTCCTGTAACTGTGTTCCCTTCCTCTTCTTGATTACGTTCTTCTGCGAAGAGAAGGGGAAAATTCAAGAATGAAAGATATTACAGAGGGAATGAATTTAGGAATTTAGCAGGAATAAGGGACTATTTACCACTGTTTAATGTGCCCATAGGGCTCTGGTAAAAAGTAGTGCACTATATAGAGAACATGGTGCCATTTGGGACAAAGCCTTAGTCTGGGTGATGATGGGTTGTTGGTTTGGTGTTTTATGTAAATGTATGAGTGTGTGAAAAATAATTTCCTCTTCAGAGGACAATAAATCTAATCTAAAAAAAAAAAATCCAAAGGAAAGTACAACATTAGCTTTGAAACTTAAAATAAATATGTTTTGGTGCCAGAATACAAGTACTGCCAGCAGTAGGAGGAAGTGTTTAAATAACTGCACATCTGTAGGCCTACAAGCCATTGGAAAGCAGTGGGCAGACAGCCAATTATGTTCAACAGACAACTCTATTTGGTTGACCGATGGTAGCTAGGACGACCTGTAACATTTTCCTCACCTGGCCTATCCGTGATATAGTGATATGGCATTTACACGTCTGACTATCAACATTCTCCTGTAGACTCCATGAAAGCTCCCAGCAGAACTCATTCGTCCAAGAGAAAGTCACATTTCTTGGTGATGGGAGGTCTAAAGGAAAAACAATAACACCCATTATTATGGTCAAGGGGTCAAGGAGGATACATACGTGGATATAAAGGGGTTGTAAATCAAATCAATTTTTATTTGTCACATGCGCCGAATACAACACCTTACCGTGAAATGCTTACTTACAAGCCCTTAACCAACAATGCAGTTTTAAGAAAATTGAGTTAAGAAAATATTTACTAAATAAACTAAAGTACAAAAAAAAAGAAACAAAAAGGAACACAATAAAATAACAATAATGAGGCTATATACAGGGGGTACTGGTACTGAGTCAATGTGCGGGGGTACAGGTTAGTCGAGGTAATTTGTACATAGGTAGGGGTAAAGTGACTATGTACAGATCATAAACAGCGAGTAGCAGCAGTGTAAAAACAAAGGGGGGGGGGGGGGGGTCAATGAAAATAGTCCAGGTGGCCATTTGATTAATAGTTCAGCAGTCTTATGGCTTGGGGGTAGAAGCTGTTAAAGAGCCTTTTGGACCTAGACTTGGCGCTCCGGTACCGCTTGCCGTGCGGTAGCAGAAAGAACAGTCTATGACTTGGGTGGCTGGAGTCTTTGGGCCTTCCTCTGACACTGCCTAGTATATAGGTCCTGGATGGCACGAAGCTTGGCCCCAGTGATGTACTGGGCCGCACGCACTACCCTCTGTAGCGCCTTACGGTCGGATGCCGAGCAGTTGCCATACCAGGCGGTGATGCAACCGGTCAGAATGCTCTCGATGGTGCAACTGTATAACTTTTTGAGGATCTGGGTACTCATGCCAAATCTTTTCAGTCTCCTGAGGGGGAAAAGGCGTTGTCGTGCCCTCTTCACAACTTTCTTGGTGTGTTTGGACCATAATAGTTTGTTGGTGATGTGTACTAAGTACCCACCCCTGAGGGGCCCCTGTGTTGAGGATCAGCGTGGCGGATGTGTTGTTGCCTACCCTTACCACCTGGGGGCGGCCCGTCAGGAAGTCCAGGATCCAGTTGCAGAGGGAGGTGTTTAGTCCCAGGGTCCTTAGCTTAGTGATGAGCTTTGTGGGCACTATGGTATTGAACACTGAGCTGTAGTCAATGAACACCATTCTCACATAGATGTTATTTTTGTCCAGGTGGGAAAGGGCAGTGTGGAGTGTGATTGAGATTGCGTCATCTGTGGATCTGTTGGGGCGGTATGCGAATTGGAGTGGGTCTAGGGTTTCCGGGATGATGGTGTTGATGTGAGCCATGACCAGCCTTTCAAAGCACTTTATGGCTACCGACGTGAGTACTAGGGGGCGATAGTCATTTAGGCAGGTTACCTTCGCTTTCTTGTGCACAGGGACTATGGTGGTCTGCTTGAAACATGTAGGTATCACAGACTTGGTCAGGGAGAGATTGAAAATGTCAGTGAATACACTTTCCAGTTGGTCCGCACATGCTCTGAGTACACATCCTGGTAATCCGTCTGGCCCCGCTGCCTTCTGATTGTTGACCTGTTTAAAGGTCTTGCTCACATCGGCTACAGAAAGCGTGATCACACAGTCGTTTGGAACAGCTGGTGCTCTCATGCATGCTTCATTGTTGCTTGCCTCGAAGCGAGCATAAAAGGTATTTAGCCCGTCTGGTAGGCACGCGTCACTGGGCAGCTCGCGACTGGGTTTCCCTTTGTAGTCCGTAATAGCTTGCAAGCCCTGCCACATCCGACGAGCATCAGAGCCGGTGTAGTAGGATTCAATATTAGTCCTGTATTGACACTTTGCCTGTTTTAAGGTTTGTCTAAGGGCATAGCGGGATTTCTTATAAGCGTCCGGATTAGTGTCCCACTCCTTGAAAGCGGCAGCTCTAGCCTTTAGATAGGTGCGGATGTTGCCTGTAATCCATGGCTTCTGGTTGGGATATGTACGTACGGTTACTGTGGGGACGACGTCGTTGATGCACTTATTGATGAAGCCGGTGACTGAGGTGGTATACTCCTCAATGCCATTGGATGAATCCCAGAATATATTCCAGTCTGTACTAGCAAAACAGTCCTGTAGCGTAGCATCCGAGTCATCTGACCACTTCCGTATTGAGCGAGTCACTGGTACTTCCTACTTTAGTTTTTGCTTGTAAGCAGGAATCAGGAGGATAAAATTATGGTCAGATTTGCCAAATGGAGGGCGAGGGAGAGCTTTGTACGTGTATCTGTGACATGCTGGTAGAAATTAGGTAAAATGGATTTAAGTTTGCCTGCATTAAAGCCCCCGGCCACTAGGAGCGCCGCTTCTGGATGAGCATTTTCTTGTTTGCTTATGGCCTTATACAGCTTGTTGAGTGCGGACTTAGTGCCAACGTTGGTTTGTGGTGGTAAATAGACTGCTATGAAAAATATAGATAAACTTTCTTGGTAGATAGTGTGGTCTACAGCTTATCATGAGGTACTCTACCTCAGGCGATTAATACCTTGAGACTACTTTAATAATAGACATTGCGCACCAGCTGTGATTGACTAATAGACCCCCCACGGCACGATATAGAACACATTTTGCGCGAGGAAAATGAATAGGCTAGGTGCGGCTGGTGAATTTAAATTAGCTAGTTTAGTGTAGCAGACTGCAAGGGGTGTAGTGCTGCCAGAGGGCACCAGAGCGTCACTCTGCTCATTTAGTAAAGTTAGATCAAAGTTATTTTTTTTAAACCTTTATTTAACTAGGCAAGTCAGCCTCAAGCACTGAGATGCAGTGCCTTAGACCGCTGCGCCACTCCGGAGCCCAATCAATGTCTTGGATTATCACATAATGGTTAATTAGTATCATACATAACAGAAACAAATAGGCATATAATAGCATAGTATAACGTTACTGTTACAACAAAAACACCACATCATTTCTTATGGGATTTTAGGATGGTTAGCTGAATAATAATAAAAACATGTAGGCTACACTGTCCCGCGAATGTCCCGCTAAATCATCCTGTTGTCCTGCATTTTGGTATTTTAAAAGTGGTCACCCTAGGTATAGCATTCCCATTTTAATTAAAGACATAATACGTGTTTCTGCCTCATTTATTACACAGTAATCTGTTCACTCTATATATTCTTAGTATACACTTGCAAGAAGACACATTTAGTGGTGAAAATGTTTGCGCAACTTGTCACTCTGACGTAATTAACGGGAAACGTCCTGAGTGCCAGCTGCCAAACCAAGTTTAATAAAAACATAAACTAAACATATCGAACGATACGACCAGATAGCCTACGCCCATGGTATGAAAAAACAGTAAGAACATGTTTTTCTATTACCTGTTTCAGGCTGTGTAGCCACGAATGAAACAAAATAGTACAAGATGAAAACTCCCCAGCATTTGTACATTGTATCAACCTATGCGAGTGATCTCTGTCAAGACCCGTCTGTCCCGCTTCGACGGAATTTGTATCCAAAAGATTCTCAACAGATGTTGCACTGTTTAATTAAAACGGATGGAGAAAACCAGAGATCCAACAAAACCGAAACGAAACATGCAAAATAGCTGTTTGTCGTGCTAAGAAAGAAGACTATTACTCTTAAGATAAAGTGGGAGGAGTTTGAGCAGTGGCTGTATAAACAAATCCGTTTATATTTACAGCGTAGCCGAAACTAGGCCTAACTGGGTTTTCACCTCTAAATAAGTCAGATGTTATGGATCCATTGTTCAATATCCTCACATGGAGTGGAAGTACATTATTTTACCAAAATAAATCTGAAATACTTTTTCATAATGTGTATGTACTATGTCTGTATGTAGGCCTACTCTATTTCTATTTCTAAGATTCAACATTAAAGTAGGATACACAATAGGAGATAACACGTTAACTAATAATCTCTTTAATTCAAGAGTGGATCCCTATTTCCTTCCACTTCCAGATGTTGCATGTTAAAATCTGGTTAAAATTAAAGTTGAAGTTGAATTCATTCAACTGAACTCTGAATTGCATGATGAATAAAAAAATAAGATACTAATAGAAAACAAAAATGCAACATAGGCCTACATTTAGGGAACTGTTGTTGTGAAGAGTTGGCTTTCAATAGGTGAGTGATGGATGATCTTCTGTATCTACATTTAAGTAATTTAGCAGACGCTCTTATCCAGAGGCATTTAGGGTTAAGTGCCTTTCTCAAGGGCACATCGACAGAATTTTCACCTAGTCAGCTCAGGGATTCAAACCAGCAACCTTTCGGTTTCTGGCCCAATGCACTTAACTGCTAGGCTACCTGCCGCACCATCTTTCTGTTCTTGCACTGACAGGCCTGAGTTCTTGCCAATGGCGAACAAATGGGGTGCGAATATGATACAAGGTTTTTATGACTGGAGGATGTGATGAAGTTCTTCAGGCAATTAAAACTGATGATGATGTAGTGTCTGAGGGTCTATGATTGTGCTGACGTTTGCAAAAGTGTGTTAGAGGAAACTTGGCTCTGCTTGCTGAAACATCTGGAAAGCATTACTAAATTCCTGGAAAAGAGGATATGTGAAAAGCCAGGGATTGGTGTATTAAAATCACGCCTTACTATGTCACATAGGATATAAATACCATGTCTTGAACAAAGGAGGGAGGAATAGCAAATCAGATTGGGTCCGGCTGTTCTTCAGATATCTGCAGGTATCTGTAAATCTGACGCTGAAACTCTTTGTTATAATAATCCTTTATAATCAAAGTACAGTGTCAGCGGATCTTCTTATCATCACGGCATTATCAGCATAGTTGTCTTTACACCACAATGACACACAGACAGCAGTTAAAGTGCAATTCCACCACTTTCCAACCTGATTTTTATTATATCCAGCACAATAGCAGTCTACATATCCCGTTCATGTCCATAACGGACATTTATAATTTCCTTTATTACACTTGTTCTCTGACCTTACAGATGGACAAATCTGAAGACATTTTTTAAATCAGCCAAAGCGTCTATAATGAGAGTTTTTGAAATTGTACTATATTCAGTCTTTGGACACATTTCATGAATCGAGTCCTGTGAATACATTTTCAAATGATCTTAATAATTTTTGGTATATAGATTGTCCGGACCAATATATATATATATTACATTTTACATTTTCTGCATTTAGCAGATGCTCTTATCCAGAGCGACTTAAAATAGCAATTAGGGTTAAGTGCCTTGCTCAAGGGCACATCAACAGATTTTTTTCACCTAGTTAGCTTGGGGATTCGAACCAGCATCCTTTCGGTTACTGGCCCAACGCTCTTAACCACTAGGCTACCTGCCGCAAAAACTCAGCAGAAAAAGAAATGTCCCTTTTTCAGGACCCTGTCTTTAAAAGATAATTTGTAAAAATCAAAATCTTCATTGTAAAGGGTTTAAACACAGTTTCCCATGCTTGTTCAATGAACCATAAACAATTAATGAACATGCACCTGTGGAACGGTCGTTAAGACACTAACAGCTTACAGAAGGTAGGCAATTAAGGTCACAATTATGAAAACTTAGGACACTAAAGAGGCCTTTCTACTGACTCTGAAAAACACCAAAAGAAAGATGCCCAAGGTCCCTGCTCATCTGCGTGAACGTGCCTTAGGCATGCTGCAAGGAGCCATGAGGACTGCAGATGTGGCCAGGGCAATAAATTGTAATGTCTGTACTGTGAGACGCCTAAGACAGCGCAACAGGGAAACAGGACGGACAGCTGATTGTCCTTGCAGTGGCAGACCACGTGTAACAACACCTGCACAAGATCGGTACATCCGAACATCACACCTGCGGGACACGTACAGGATGGCAACAACAACTGCCCGAGTTACACCAGGAACGCACAATCCCTCCATCAGTGCTCAGACTGTCCGCAATAGGCTGAGGGCTTGTAGGCCTGTTGTAAGGCAGGTCCTCAACAGACATCACCGGCAACAACGTCGCCTATGGGCACAAACCCACCGTCGCTGGACCAGACAGGACTGGCAAAAAGTGCTCTTCACTGACAAGTCACGGTTTTGTCTCACCAGGGGTGATGGTCGGATTCTCGTTTATTGTCGAAGGAACGAGCGTTACACCGAGGCCTGTACTCGGGAGCGGGATCGATTTGGAGGTGGATGGTCCGTCATGGTCTGGGGCGGTGTGTCACAGCATCATCGGACTGAGCTTGTTGTCATTGCAGGCAATCTCAACGCTGTGCGTTACAGGGAAGACATCCTCCTCCCTCATGTGTTACCCTTCCTGCAGGCTCATCCTGACATGACCCTCCAGCATGACAATGCCACCAGCCATACTGCTCGTTCTGTGCGTGATTTCCTGCAAGACAGGAATGTATATGTGGGAACTCCTTCAAGACTGTTGGAAAAGCAGCCCAGGTGAAGCTGGTTGTGAGAATGCCAAGAGTGTGCAAAGCTGTCATCAAGGCAAACGGTGGCTACTTTGAAGAATCTCAAATAGAAAATATATTTTGATTTGTTTAACACTTTTTTGGTTACTACATGATTCCATATGTGTTATTTCATAGTTTTGATGTCTTCACTATTATTCTACATTGTAGAAAATAGTAAAAAAAAAAAAAAACTTTTTTGAATGAGTAGGTGTGTCCAAACCTTTGACTGGTACTGTATATATATATAATATGAAAACAATATCTAAAGAAAACCACTCTCTGTCACATACACACCCCTAGATTATATGCAAATCCAATGCCAGTCAATGGAGACTGGAGAGTGAGTCATATTAAAGCATTTTTCCTCTTTCTCAGATCTTAAACATGTTCAGATCTTAATAATTGTTGGTATATAGAGTGTGTAGACCAATATATCAATACAAAACCAATATCTAAAAAAATATATATATTTTTAGGACCATTCTTCTTATCTTTTAACCACAGATCATAGAAACCCACCATTTCCACATATATAGACACTGGTATGGTGCTGGAGATAATGAATATGTGGTTAGAAAGTGGCAGAATTGCCCTTTAAAGAAGATGGCCTACTGGATGGGCAGACAGAACAAAGTTAGTCTGTGTGTCTTTTAGCTCACATTTCTGTTGGGATAATGGGATGATATTCCTTTCAAGTGTAATGGGATGTCATCATCAGATATGAACAGGTCTCTCACATGAAATAGATTTGACCTTACAATGGGATCATCTGTATAAATTAAGGATAGATGGATAAATTAATGATGCATGACTCATTGTCCCCCAATGAAGATGTGGACATTAAATAGGCTACTTTATTAGATCGGTAACAATATTTGTACAGTACACATATAAGGACTTCATAGCAAATTCCCTTTCTTCTTACCCCCCATCTGGCACCATATCAACCACGGTGCTTCTGGCTCTGCATTGCTTGCTCTATGAGGTTTTAGGATGGATATCTATAAGTACTTTTGACAACTGTTTATGTATGAAGGGCTTTATAAAATACATTTGATTGATTGATTGATTGACAGACTAGATTGATGAGACTAGATGTCTAAATGGTATAGTGTTGTAAATTGTTGTTGTTGGCCCCTTTCTAATTTTCTCTACTTTTCAGATCTTCAACCAAAACCTAATATTAGATCAAGGGAACCTGAGTGAACAAATAACACAATTACATACTTATTTAATTTATTTCATAAAGAAAGTTATGCAACACCCAACGCCCCTGTGTGAAGAAGTAATTGCCCCCTTACGTGCAATAACTTGTTGTTCCACCTTTAGCTGCAATGACTGCAAACAAATGCTTCCAGTAGTTGTTGATCAGTCTCTCACGTCGCTGTGGAGGAATTTTGGCCCACTCTTCCATGAAGAAATGGTTTAACTAAGCGAAATGTGTGGGTTTTCAAGCATGAACTGCTCGTTTCAATTCCTGCTACAACATCTCAATTGGGATTAGGTCTAGACCTTGACTAGGCCATTACAAAACTTCAAATGTGTTTCTAACCATTTTCATGTAGACTTGGTTGTGTGTTTTGGATCATTGTCTTGCTGCATGACCCAGCTGCGCTTCAGCTTCAGCTCACAGATGGATGGAATGTCATTCTCCTGTAGAATTCTCTGATACAGAGCAGAATTCATGGTTCCTTCTATTAAGGCATGTCGTCCAGGTCCTGAGGCAGCAAAGCATCCCCAAAGAATCACACCACCACCATGCTTGACCTTTGGTATGAGGTTCTTACTGTGGAATGCAGTGCTTGGTTTTCACCAGGCATAATGGGACCCATCTCGTCCAAAAAGTTGACTCAAGTTTGCCAAAAAGCACCTGGAAACACCTGGATGATCACCAAGACTGTTCTATGGACAGATGAGTCAAAAGTATAACTTTTTGGACAACATGGGACCCATTATGCCTGGCTAAAACCAAACACTGCATTCCACAGTAAGAACCATATACCAACGGTCAAGCATGGTGGTGGTAGTGTATTTGGGTGTTGCATAACTTTGTTAACTAAATACAATTATTTTGGGGGGTTATTTGTAAACTCAGGTTCCCTTTATAGATAAAGGGAACCTGAGTTTACAAATAACCCCCCAAAATTATATATTAGGTTTTGGTTGAAGATCTGATAACATTCAGTATAGAAAATATGCAAAAATAGAGAAAATCAGAAAGGGGGCAAATAAGTTTTCACGGCACTGTGTATCACATATTATACTGTATAATTAACCAATAAGGCACAAGAGACAATCACAGGTAACCTGGAACCTGGAATGACACTAGCTGAATTTCTGTTTGTTCAATCTTTTTTATTTCCGCATCTACTTGGGTATGTCCATGATAATGATGTTGCTCAGAAAAAGTTGTCTCGGCACAGGTCCTAATCCAGGCACTAGTCATCTCCCGTCTGGATTACTGCAACTCGCTGTTGGCTGGGCTCCCTGCCTGTGCCATTAAACCCCTACAACTCATCCAGAACGCTGCAGCCCGTCTGGTGTTCAACCTTCCCAAGTTCTCTCACGTCACCCCGCTCCTCCGCACACTCCACTGGCTTCCAGTTGAAGCTCACATCTGCTACAAGACCATGGTGCTTGCCTATGGAGCTGTGAGGGGAACGGAACCTCCTTACCTTCAGGCTCTGATCAGTCCCTACACCCAAACGAGGACATTGCGTTCTTCCACCTCTGGCCTGCTGGTCCACCTACCTCTGAGGAAGCACAGTTCCCGCTCAGCCCAGTCAAAACTGTTCGCTGCTCTGGCACCCCAATGGTGGAACAAGCTCCCTCACGACGCCAGGACAGCGGAGTCACTGACCACCTTCCGGAGACACTTACCTCTTTAAGGAATACCTGGGATAGTATAAAAGTAATCATTCTACCCCCCCCCCCCCCCCCCCCCCCCCCCCACACAAAATATATACATATATATATACAAAATATATATATATTCAAAAAATAAAATAAAAATAATAATATGTAAAGTGGTTGTCCCACTGGCTATCATAAGGTGAATGCACCAATTTGTAAGTCGCTCTGGATAAGAGCGTCTGCTAAATGACGTAAATGTAAATGTCTCGGCACCGTTCACTCTATGTATGGTACTACAGAGATCGAAATTCAAATGTGAAACATTGTTTCCGAGGTCGGACAGGCAGAAAGCTTATATTAAGCCCCGCTGCACCAAACTAAATGCTAGGTTGGAAGCAAGGGGAAATAATGTGTGAGTTGAGATAAATAAAAGAGATGATTCGGATAGCAACATGAACATGATATTCTTATAGAGGCGCAGTGATAATTTTCAGATGGAGCTGATAGTAGGCATAGGTGTGTCTGTGACGGCCAATACAGCGCAACTTGGAACGCTGCTCGTCCAATCAGCATCCAGGATCCAAACAACCAGTTTTATAATTATTATTATAAACTGGGTGGCTTGAGCCCTGAGTGCTGATTGGCTGAAAACCATTGTATATCAGACCATATACCATGGGTATGGAAAAAAACAATTTATACCGTTAGAATTATGTTGTTAACCAGTTTATAATAGCAACAAGGCACCTCGGGGGTTTGTGGTATATGGCCAATATACCAAGGCTAATGGCTGTAACCAGGCACTCTTAGCCGTTGTATATTGGCCATATACCACACCTCATCAGGCCCTATTGCTTAATTATATTACATGGATGGAACTACAACATGTGAAAATAAAAAGGGGGCAGAACTTACTTTATTCAGTTCTTTGTTGATTGGCTTATTCTTTGAACACACTCTGGATTAATTTTCATAAAAGAGTGCACAAGGCCTTTCCTGACTTGCCCAATCCTTGCTCTGTCAGAATGTTTTATGATTGCCAGGTGTACTTCAGAACAGATAACAGTCTGAACCTGTTCAGGGCCTCATCAAAGTACGTTTTTCATTCCTGGGTGTTAGGGTCCGCAGCGTAACGTTTCTGCCAAGGAAGAGTCTCTGCATGTATTTAGATTGGATGTTAATGATACCTGATGAGTGAGTGTGTGTGGAGATAGAAATGAATCAGGCATGTAGAATAATAACAAGGTTCCACCTAGAAACATATAGCACACGTACAATTTTGTATGTAAAATAAAATTATTCCTTGACATGCAAAACTCAAAATATACATTATACCACAGGAGGTTGGTGGCACCTTAATTGGGGAGGACGGGCTTGTGGTAATGGCTGGAGCGGAATTGTGGAATAGTATCAAATACATCAAACATGGTTTCCATGTGTTTGATGGCATTCCATTTGCGCCGTTCCAGCCATTGTTAAGAGCCGTCCTCTCGTCAGCAGTCCCCACTACATTATACTGTACATATTACAATATACACATCTGTACCACCTATTCTGCACATAGCTATTATGTACACGGAAGCTATGCCTTTAATAGCAATGCCAGAGATGAGTTAGATAAACTGCAGTAGGTTGACAACAAGCTAGCTCACATTGGCATCATATAGCCTCTTGCCTTTGATATGTATTGTCTAGCACAGGGGTGGACACCTCCAATCCTCGGGGGCCTGATTGGTGTCACAGTTTTGCCCCAGCCCCAGCTAACACACCTGACTCCAATAATCACCTAATTATGCTCTTCAGTTTAGAATGTAGCCTCCCTGTATTTAAATTCATTAAAGGAATACTGAATACTTATTTTACTGTTGTTGCGTTTTGCATCATTTGATGCATCAAGGAACGTTTTTGCTCTACTGAAAGTGCTTTCTTGAAAATTTCATTGCTGATATGCACATTTTTGGGGGATTTTATAATGGTGAACTAATGGAAAAAAATACTCAAACATCGTTTTTGAGTGTAGTATTCCTTTAAAGCAGGGGCTAAGATGTCTGGACTTTTATGGCACATATAGTTGACTCATTCCACAGCGGATAACTGGTTCTAGTCTTTGTATGTGTCCCCTAAATCACTACATGATGAACAGGGTTGATCAGTCAGATAAAGCCTGTGATGCTGCCTGGGCATATCTTTGGGCACTGCCTACCAATGTTCCATTTGGTTGAGGAGTGAGGGTTATGAGTCCAGCTCCTCCTCGTTTCCTGCACTGGCTTTCTGATAACGTCTGACATTTGACCTACGACCCCAAGCCGTGGGATGCAAGAGGTTCATGAGAACAGTTGTTAGTATCTGCCCAAGCAAACAGACACACACATCCCCCCCACTTCCACACATGTTACTCAGAACAATACAGGAGTCATTGCGTCGACACCTCAAAACAGTCTAGGAAAAAGGTGTCTCCATTCTCCACGGTCCATACTCCACACACTCTCCGTCTGTATCCAAGTTGTTAAGGTGGTACATCGACTGCGGAGCTCCAAGTCCTGGCAATCTTCAGCAATGCAGTTGGGGTACACCTTAAAATGGCTTGCTCTGAGTGTCGGTCAATGACACTGAAGTCACTTAGCTCCCAGGTCATACCGGCTGCAGCTGTATCTGTCTGTACTGTAGTAATCACTACTGGGTCAGTGTGTAGTTTCTCAGGGGTCAGGCTGATCTTACATTCCACCTCCTCCTCTACCGGGACATAGAGATTCCCTATGGAGCTCTGGAAGGCAGGGAATGAGGGTGAGTGTGTGTGTGTGTGTGTGTGTGTGTGTGTGTGTGTGTGTGTGTGTGTGTGAGGGTCATGGGGCAACGTGGATTAATTGAAAAGAGGAAGTTCGATATCAGTATGTACTCTATACGCTGATGTTATCATTTCTAGTAAGTGAAGTCCTACAACATCAGCCAGCCCCTTAGGATGTTGCTGTTCTCACCTTCTGTTCCTTATTGCTGTTCACCATGTCCTTGAAAATCAATGAGGGTTGTGGAATCTCGGGGAAAAGCTTATTTCTGTGCCTGGAATAGAACCAAAGAAAATGAGGGCAAATTTCAAACCCTATTCACCAAAATGTCAATTACTTGAGTGAAAACACATTTCCTAGATATCTTTCTCTTAAGACAATCTAAACACCAAGATTCCAAGACACACACACACACACACACACACAGAATGTAGACCCATGATGTAGGTTGACTTACTTCATGAAACAACAAAGAAACAGGATGATGAATAGGCCAACTGCAGCAGGAATGAGGATGGCAACTACAGTCATCGACCAATCAACATGACGATCCTCCACACCTGAAAGGAACACAAGCAAAACATCAGTGACTGGGTCTAATTCTAATCTTGTCTATTAGATTAGAAGTCTATTACATTTAGTCAATAGTATACAATTCTATTATAATGACATATACTATTTTAAAGACTATAGACTAATGGTATAATATACACTTTTTTTCTCTTCGTCCTCCATTTTATTTGAAACAGGGAAAGTTAAAACTATTTCAATGTTAATATAATTATATCACTGTCTGTGTCCTGACAGAGAGAGAGTGTGGAGAAAGAAAGTGGAGAAAGTACCATAAAGTTCCACATCGCTCCAGTCGCTTTCTCCTGCCCCACATGACTCCTTATAGACTGCTTTAACCTGGACTCTGTATTGGCATCTCAGGTCGTACGGCATGTCCACAACTACATTTTCATATTGGTATTGTATCTCTTTACTCTGGAGGAAACACACATAATGGTACCATTTCACTAACACACACACACACACACACACACACACCAGGCCCTTTAGGTCTGTAAAAGCAGTGTAAACATGTTCCAGTGACTAAAGCTGTATTTCCATCGGTGTAATACCTGAACACCCAACCCTTCATCTGACCTATAAACTGTCTGTAGCCAGATAAACTTAGGCCTCGTTATCTGTTTATTTGTTTATGAATCATTCAGCATTATTACATACACAGGTTTTGAACATCAGGTCTCTGTTGCAAACTAGATTTTATCTCAGTGAGACTAACCTGTAAAACAATGGCCGAGTGAACCATAAATAACCAAACGCTTAAATTAAATATGAAACTATTGAAAACTCTTCTGGGAAGTGCAACAACAGAAAACATCTGCACTTGCCAGGTTGTCTTTGTAAATAAGAATCTGTTCAGAACTAGCTTGCTTGGATAAATAAAAGGTTATATAAATAAAAAATATCCACACATCCATGGCTTACCAGAGACTCTTGACACTTGCTGTAGTTTAAGATGTAAACCCAGCAGTGGTGAGCGGCTAAGTCCGGAGGGTCCCAGCTCAGAATGAGATCCTTCCCTTCCTCTGTGATCTTAACCCTAGGGGCCGGGGGCTTGACTGAAGAGAATCGGACATACAATATAACCTTAGATAAATGAGAGTATTGGTAATATACAATTATTGAATACTTGAGTGTTTGGTAGTATCATGAAATTACTGATTAGTTGGTATCCTTTGATAAATAGTTTTAGAATTCAAAGAATATGTAATTTTTGGAATGGTTTTCGGGTCATTCCATGAGGATATATCGCAAACATGTATTTTTAACTGTTAAAAAATGTAGTTATTCTTACCACAATTTATAGGAAATACCCAGAAGATATTCTGTACAGACAAACCATTGAAAGTCCCATTGACGTGGAAGTTGACGTTATGTTCAAGGAAGTCTCCTCTCAGGCGACATCCTGTCTTCTCACTAGCTCTGTACTGGTAATCACTGCATGCTGCTTTGTGGGATTCACCAGAGAACCTGAAGCATTAGGGATGAGAGGGTTGACAATCTGTCACTGCTCCGCTCAACTGACACAGCTCAACTGACACAGCCCAACTGACACTGCTCAACTGACACAGCTCAACTGACACAGCTCAACTGACACAGCTCGACTGACACTGCTCAACTGACACAGCTCAACTGACACAGTCCAACTGACACAGCTCAACTGACACAGCTCAACTGACACATCTCAACTGACACAGCCCAACTGACACTGCTCAACTGACACAGCTCAACTGACACATCTCAACTGACACAGCCCAACTGACACTGCTCAACTGACACAGCTCAACTGACACAGCCCAACTGACACTGCTCAACTGACACAGCTCAACTGACACGGCTCAACTGACACTGCTCAACTGACACAGCCCAACTGACACAGCCCAACTGACACAGCCCAACTGACACTGCTCAACTGACACTGCTCAACTGACACTGCTCAACTGACACTACTAAACTGACACTTACATATAGGTTGGGCTCCTTTCCATTGCTTGTCAGTTGAATTGATAGATTAACCTTTGCACTCCTGAAGCTTAATGACGTCTAAGATGATAGGTAGGATGTGTAGGAGAAGCAAAATATGAAGTGAATTGGCAGAAGAAGCCTTGGTGAAGGTCTCTAGGCGTATGTCACCATTGGCAATTCATGTTTCACTTGCAAATATTCACAGTGTGCCAGGAGTTATTTTACCAGTTGAGTCTGCAGTGGCATGTATTCATGGATGCCAAGGGAAGCCAGGCTTCCCCAAAAAATGTACCAAGAAAAAAATAAAATATATACAATAATTTATCTTTCGTCTCTTTGTGTTTCATAATTTTACTTCAATTCACAAGAGGCTGAATGTACACTACATGACCAAAAGTATGTGGGCACCTGCTCGAACATCTCATTTCAAAATCATGGGCATTAATATGGAGTTGGTCCCCGCTTTGATGCTATAACAGCCTCCACTCTTCTGGGAAGGCTTTCCACTAGATGTTGGAACATTGATGCGGGGACTTGCTTCCATTCAGCCACAAGAGCATTAGTGAGGTAGGGCACTGATGTTGGGCAATTAGACCTGGCTCGCAGTCGGCGTTCCAATTCATCCATAAGTTGTTCGATGGGGTTAAGGTCAGGGCTCTGTGCAGGCCAGTCAAGTTCTTCCACACCGATCTCGACAAACCATTTTGTATGGACCTCGATATGTGCACGGGGGCATTGTCATGCTGAAACAGGAAAGGGCCTTCCCCAAACTGTTGCCACAAAGTTGGAAGCACAGAATTGTCTAGAATGTCATTGTATGCTGTAGCGTTAAGATTTCACTTCACCAGAACTAAGGGACCTAGCCCGAACCATGAAAAACAGCCCCAGAACATTATTCCTCCTCCACCAATTGTTACAGTTGGCACTATGCAATCGGGCAGGTAGCGTTCTCCTGGCATCCGCCAAACCCAGATTATTCCGTCGGACTGCCAAATGGTGAAGCGTGATTCATCACGCCAGAGAACGCGTTTCCACTGCTCCAGAGCCCAATGGCGGCGAGCTTTACACCACTCCAGCCGATGTTTGGCATTGCGCATGGTGATCTTAGGCTTGTGTGCGGCTGCTCGGCCACGGAAACCCATTTTATGAAGCTCCCGACGAACAGTTATTGTGCTGACGTTGCTTCCAGAGGCAGTTTGGAACTCGGTAGTGAGTGTTGCAACTGAGGACAGATTATTTTTACGCGCTACACGCTTCTGCACTCGGCGGTCCCGTTCTGTGAGCTTGTGTGGCCTACCACTTCGCAGCTGAAACGTTGTTGCTCCTAGACGTTTCCACTTCACAATAACAGCACTTACAGTTGATTCTACTTCCAAAGTTTGTCTATGGAGATTGCATGTCTGTCTGCTCGATTTTATACACCTGTCAGCAACGGGTGTGGCTGAAATAGCCGAATCCACTAATTTGAAGGGGTCTCCACATACTTTTGTATATATAGTGTATCTCACTGGAGAAAGCGAGCAAAGCAACGCCCCTCTGTCTCTGTATGTGTAGGCCATCTATCTGATGCTGTCTGGTCCAAAAGATAATGACATTGTTGCTGCTCGTAGCATTGAATGCAAGGGAAGCCAGTGAGAATTTGGTCTCCCTTGATAAAAAAAATAAAATAAAATAATAGCCAAACTGTGTGAGCTCAACTGTGAATGGTCCTGGCACACCAAAAAAAAAGTGTCAAGGGAAGCCAGTTTGGATTTGGCATCACTCCTATCAAATCGCATTGAGAGCATACGTCATTGACAGAAACAACTTAAATTGTTGCATCTAATTGTGTTGTTGTCCTCTGGTGGCTAGCTAGCTAGTTAAAATGGTCCCTTTCCTAAATTAGCCATGGTTGGAGATAGGGATTTGGACTTGTTGTTTTACTTAATTCTCTGTACTAGCCAATGATTATAAAGGTGATTCTGATCCAACCATAAATTCATACATTGTGCTCCTGGCCTGAGACGATGGAAGTTCAATATGTATTTAGATGTAGAAGGCTAATGTTAACTAGCTAGCGTTGCCCATGAAAGGAAGTTAGGCTAGCGGGCAAGCATTTTAGCCAGGTAGCCTAGGACAACAAAAAATTAAAGATTGTACTGTATGACAGAGTGCAGTGGAGGCTCCTCAGAGGAGGAAGGGGAGGACCATCCTCCTAAGTGAATTTCATATTTTTTTAAACATTTAAAAAGTTATCATTTTTAGATAAAACTATACTAAATATAATCACGTCACCAAATAATTGATGAAAACACAGTATTTTGCAAAGAAGGTCTACAGTAGCCTCAACAGCACTCTGTAGGGTAGCACCATGGTGTAGCCGAAGGACAGCTAGCTTCCGTCCTCCTCTGAGTACATTGACTTCAATACAAAACCTAGGAGGCTCATGGTTCTCACCCCCTTCCATAGACTTACACAGTAATTATGACAACTTCCGGAGGACGTCCTCCAACCTTTCAGAGCTATTGCAGCATGAACTGACATGTTGTCCACCCAATCAAAGGATCAGATAATTAATATAGTACTGAAAGCATAAGCTACAGCTAGCTAGCACTGCAGTGCATCAAATGTGGTGAGTAGTTGACTCAAAGAGAGAGAAAGACAATAGTTGAACAGTTTTGAACAAATTAATATCTTCCTAAATGAAGGAGAAGCAAAAGAGAAATAGTGGGAGAGAGATTTTGTCATTTTCTTTCACTTACTTAGCTAGCAAATGCAGCTAGCTAGTTTAGCCTACTGAAACACCATGCTCAAACAGAGGGATGCTATGTTAGCTAGCTGGCTATGACCACCCAACACAACACTGGAACTCTTCCAAGTCAAGGTAAACTTTTGGTTTTACTAATTTATTGGCACCGGGGCCCACCGGTGTAACTGCTTACTGACTGTACACTGTAACTTTACTGCATGATTGTAGCGGATTTACTAACGCGTTAGTTCTATTAGCTAGGCTGACTATGACGTTACTAAGTTTAGCTAATATGGTGACAACGATATAGAATGTGTGTAGCGGTTTGGCTTCTAAAGGCTTTTTCGCCTGGTCACATACAGTTGATGTGTTGTGCATTGAAGTCCACAAGCATAACGTAGATGCGAGAAGGAATACAACGTGGCTGCTATGAAACTGTGAACTGTGTTTACGCGTGATCAGGGATGAGTGTGCAAGGCGGTATTGAATGTCACTGTCTGTCCATGTGTCACTGTCTGCCACATCAAATTTGCCTCTCGACCTGTGTGCACCTACGTTGTAAACTTTCATTCATAGGCTAGGTTTTAGCCAGGTCGCAGTTGTAAAAGAGAACTTGTTCTCAACTGGCTTACCTGGTTAAATAAAGGTGAAATAAATAAATAAATAAAAGTAGCAACCTCATGATGGGTATAGGGAAAATTTGAGTATAATATAGTAGCCTAAACCTATCGCTGTTACATTTAACTGGGTGAATGGAATATGAATGACAACCAATATGCTGTAATAGAAATAAGGCCATGCTCATGAAAAAAATAATCGTCCTCCCTCATCTAAAACGGCACTGACCACCACTGACAGAGTGATAGACTGTTACGTCAGCATGAAGGAGAGGAGGATGGCCTTGGCGTTTCTCTACAAGTAGGGTGAGTCAACATAATAATAATAATATGCCATTTAGCAGACGCTTTTATCCAAAGCGACTTACAGTCATGCGTGCATACATTTTTACGTATGGGTGGTCCCGGGGATCGAACCCACTACCCTGGCGTTACAAGCGCCATACTCTACCAATTGAGCTACAGAGGACCACAACATGTTTTTTCTACTTGCATGAACGTGCACACACACCACGCATGCACACACGTACACAGAAATCAGAACTATGGACAGCCACATGATATTTAGCTTATGTTGATTGGACTAAATAGTTTTTGGTATATTTTAGTTGTCACTATATTAGACTAAGCATAGGTGATTTGATGATGCTGAAATGTTGAAGTTGACATGGTGCTGGAATAGTGGAGGCAGCTCCTGTTTTCTTTGTGACTTGCAGTAACTCTCCGTGGTTCTAAATCAATAGTTGTTTAGTGGTCCGAAAATGTCGGAAACATTAACTTGCTTGACCATGCTGTAGGTCATGTAACTGTTTGTTACATGCAATGTGCTTTGTGGACTTCACCGGACAGAGGTTGCTCTCTGGTTTTGTGATGAAACAAAGGTGTGGTTGAATTTATTCTGCCACTGTGTCTTCCCTGAGCAAGGCAGTTAACCCACTGTTCCCCGGGCGCGGATGACGTGGATGTCGATTAAGGCAGTCCCCCGCACCTCTCTGATTCAGTTGTACATACCCCTTTCCCTTTCTTATTGTTTTGGCCTTAGGGGTGCGACTTTCACTGGGGACGGGGACACCCCACATTCTGAAATTGCATTTTTGTCCCCCCCCCCGGT